GAAAAAATAAGAACCAAGATGCATTATGTAAAGGTACAATTCCCAATGAGAAATGTAATTGTGTTGTATACCTACAATGTACCAATAAAAGAATTGAATACAAAAAAAAATGGCCATACTTCCAAAACTGTTATATAGATGCAGGCCTTCGTCCTGGTGCTCAGAGTGACAGAGACCGTGCCTTTCGTGTCTCTTCTTGTAAGGGCACTAATCCTTGCATAAGTGTACCACCTTCTTGCCCAAATACATCTCACAGGACTCACATTCAAGTTCCATCCCATTGAGAATCAGGGCTTTGGTGTAAAAAATTTGGAATTTTTTTGAGGGAATCTCAGTTCAGTCCATAACACCTGAGTGCTACTGACTGATTCATCAGATGTTAAATTTTTTAATAAGAGGAAAAGTAACAATGACAGCTAACAGTATTGGTCTGACTGTGTGCCAGCCTCCATCCTCCTCTAGACTGGGCTCCTGGGAAAAACCCACCGAGGTGGAGGTTGTGTGCAGAAGGTTTGTCAGGAGGTTCTGTCCTGAGCAGCATTTGTAAGGAAGTGAGGAGGGGAGGCCGTGCTGCACTCACAGCGGGGCCATGGGTGTCATTCCAGGAAGTGTGGGCAAACCACATCAGACCCATGGGTGACCGTGGGTGAGGCAGCTCCCTGCAGGGAGGGCAGTTCCTAGTCCTGGAAACAGTGGAGTCAGCGACCAGCTACACTCCCCACACTGGGGAGGGCTGGGGAAGCTGGGAGAGATCTGGGTGAGCAACGACTGTGTCTATCACACCGTATCAGCTCACTTTGTCCTTATGACATAAATGCTGCCCTTTGGATTATCCTCATCCCCACTGCCAGTTTAATAAAGGAGGCCCAGAGAGGTTAAGTAACTTGTGCAAGGCCCAACCTGTGATTGAAACCCAGGCAGTATGTGGTCTTAACCCCTTAGACTTTACTGCCTTGGTATATAGGATCCTACAGCTAAGCTGTTTTGGGTAGCCTTTGGGGAAAGCAGTGAGGAAATAGATGGGTAATCTAGTACATTTCCTTTAAATCTCGGGACAAAGCACACAAAATTGTGTGGTCTGTATATTGAGATCGTTTCCAACACAGATTATTTCAAAGCTTTCTCTTCGTGGCTTTCATATACAGCAGCTTTATTGTTCTTTGAAACAGAGCCAATGACCTGAGGGTCTCTTCTTTACTCATTTACAGACGGTCATTTTGGGATCTTACCTAGTTGCCCATGGCTGCTTCAGTGTCTATGCAACGTGTGTTGAAACAATCTTCCTGTGCTTCTGTAAGTACCCAGTGTGCGGGTGTCCTCCGTGGATAACTGAGGATGAAGGTGAAGGCTAGGTGTCCTTAGCTGGCTTGTGGATTTGCTGCTGCCTAGCTGAAGCTGCAAGGCGGTACTCATGTGGAAGGAGACACTGCTGAGTAGATGCTTTTTAAACCATAACTGCTGAGAAACAAGCCAGAGGCAGAGAGACAAATATGCCTCATCTCACTTAAATGTGGAATCTAAAACTTCAGACTCAGAGACAGGGGGAAGGGTGGTGATCAGGAATCCAAGGCTGAGGCAAGTGAGGAGATATTGGCCGAAGGGTAGGAAGTCCCATTTACAAGAAGAACGCATCCTGGAGCGCTAACGTGCAGCGTGGTAACCATAATTAGTAACACTGTACCATACACTTGAGATCTTCCAGGAGAGATCTGAAATATTCTAAACACACACACACACACACACACACACACACACACACGTCTTTGTGAGATGATGAACATGTTAATTAGCTTGATAATGGTAATCATTCCACAATACATGTATCAAAGCATTGCATTCCCTCAATATACATAATTTTTTGTCAATTATACCTCAGTAAAGCTGGGAGGAAATTATCTTAGGGAAGCTGGGAGGAAAATACAAAGTCACAGCCACACACAAATAATTAACCACTGAGACCATGGAGTTGGCAAAGCACGGGAAAGCCGCCTGCTGGCCTGGACTTGGGCTGCGACTTGGTGCCGGCGTGATGGCAATGCCACCCTGTCGTGTCCCAGTGCCATCAGGTCCCCCTAGCGATAGGCTCCTGCTGTGCTTTGTGAATACAACTTCGGCCTCAGCTGGACTCTGGGGAGCAGGTTTGGGGATTCTTTGAGGACCCTCTGTGCATTCTCAAGAAGCCAAGATGGCAACAGTTCAAACACAGCTGGGGCTAATTCCCAGGATGTAATGTGATGACAAAGGACAGGATCCAGAGAAGTGTGCCTAGGAATGGCTCTATTCCTGTAGGGGCCTGGAGTTACTGTGCATCATCATCCTGAGAACTTTCATCATGGACTTAGACACTGTGTTCCTAGGCAGCAGGTGTCGCTCAGATACTCCAAATGGGTATTTTTATTTTAGTACCTCATCCAAAACAAGCCAGAGAAACTAGGACTTTGATCTGGCCCTCACTTTTGGTGAATGTCTTGGGCAAATCTAGAGAAGGTAGAATTAGTGGGTAAGAGAGCAGAACCTAGCAGATGTGGTGGTGTATGCCTGTAATCCCAGCACCCTAGGAGGCTGAAGCAGGAGGACTGCCAGTTTGAGCCCAACTTGGCAACTTGGTGACTTAGCAAGACCCTGCCTCAAAACAGAACAAAACAACATTAAAGGGGGTTAGGGGGCTGGAGATGTAACTCAGGGCAAAGACCCCTTAGGTCAACCCCAGTACCACACACACAAAAAGAAAACTGTAACAGAACCTGTTAGCCATACACTTAAACACTGAGTGATTATTTCTCTAGCACAATTGCTGGAAGAGAAGCAGAAAAAACTTAGTCTCTTGCATGGCATTGTGGAGTTAAAGTTTACTTTTTAGAGTAAACTACAGGATCCACATTGGGCTCAGGAGTGGAGATCATTACAGGAGTAATGATCACCTCTGAAAAATAAGGCGTACCCTTCAGGTCTTATTTTGGGGACACACAGTAGTTCCTAACACATGGCAGAGACGGAACTCTGGAATATGCAGAGATTTCTTCTCTCATCTCAGATGCTCACAATGAGAGTAATAATTGGAGATTCCTCTGTGATCTTCCTCATTCTTGTGGCTGAAAATCCTTCTCAAAATTTATTATAGGGAATGTTTATTACAGGGCATCTACTAGTTTCCAGTCTTTGAAAGCTTGACTTAATAGTGTCAATTTTAAATATGGCAGTGGATTTAAATTTGAACAATAAGAAATTTCCCACCTGTATTTGTTAATAAATTTCCAACTTCTTGAAAGTCAGATATACTGTAAGTTTTATTCAATACATTGTATGCTGACGTGAATAGTTTCCCTTCATTTGATAATAAAGAACAAGGGAAGCCATATGGTATTTCTCCTCCCTCCCCAGCTGTTACAACGGGTAACATTATTCTTTGGAAAATATTCTTCTTAACGATACCCCAAGGCAAATTCTGATTGTGTAGAGCTATACTTTCATTTTTTTGATATCTTTTTATACTTATTATCTTGGTTGCCAGAAAACTTGTGCTTTTTTAAATGCCAGCCATTTGTAAACATTTTATTTATAGAAACATAACATTTTTTAACATCACAAGGCATTGAGAATCCTGCTGGAAAGAATAATAGTTGTGGATGATTATTACAGTGATCTAGACCAGACTTCCTACCAGTTCCTCCAGGGTAGTAATGATATAGGCATATGATATGGGGTATTGTACAGAAATAAGATTAAGGATAAAAAAGAACAAAAATGTTTAGTGTTTGTCGTGTCCCTTAGCTTTTCATTTTGTATGTGAGGAAGGTCACATGCATGTGTGAGGTCTAATTTAAAGATCTCCTAAACCAGTAATCCCACCATTCCCAAAAGAATATCTGCATTACTGTCTGCAGTGAATTATATATATTTGCAGAAAACTTAATCCCATCCAAACATCTCCTTGCTTTTCAGCATGACTCTGCTGCTTCCCCCACCACCCAGCAGGTGGATCAGTGAACATGCTATCAAATTCCTATTACCTTAAGCAATCAAGACAAGAAGGCAAATTCACATGCTGCGGAAGTCAGGAAATACTAGTGTTAGCTTTTAAATATAATCTGAGGCAGACCACAAAGATTTAGAGCAAGGCACTTCATAGTTAAGTAGAAGGAGGACTGCATTAGATGTTGAGAGGCTGGATTCTCTTCTCCTCATTGCTTCAGAATCTTTGACCTCAGCAGAGTCCTTTTCTATCCCTGGCTTGGCTGCTTCATCTGTAATATCAGTGTGTGAACTACTATTAAAAGTGACTTTAAGGGCAGGGGATTTAGCTCAGTGGTTCTGCCGCCTGCCTGGCAAGCACAAGGACCCGAGTTCGATCCCCGGTACCAAAAAAAAAAAAAAAAAGAAAGAAAGAAAGAAAAAATGACTTTAAACTCTCAAATGCAATTCTTAGCACATTCTTTATTTAACTTCATCCCCAAAGATGTGGCAGTTTAGACAGCCTGGAAAAGAATGGATTTAAGGAGAACATTTTTGAAGGACACAGAAAACTTTGTTAATTAAACCATCAAAATGAAGCAAATAAGCCTCTTTGGGAGCAGAAGGGACCAGGGGGAAGGGTCAGTGATTTATAGCAGAGGTTGGGGCTTTTTGCTTTGTCCACTGTCAGCAACTTAGCTACACTAATTTGTCTTCTATTGGACTTTCTAACATTGGTTTCTCTATTTTTTCCCCATTCAATTACTCTCCAATTTATAAAAATGCATATAATTGTTCTGCTGCTGCTTGCCACTTTTGCCCTGCTTTGGCTGCTGCAAATACAGGTGAAGATCTGGAAAGGAATGATGGATCTGCAGAAAAACCCTACTTCATAACCCCTAGCCTGCATGAGATTCTGGTCAAGAAGCAATCAGTTCCTCAGAAGCAGAAAGAGTAGAAAAGCTCCAAACAGTGCCATCCACTCTTAAGTTGATGCTTTGTGAACTAGGTCAACTGTAATTTGAAAATGTTGCCTTGGAATAATGTGAAATTTCTGAGCTACTTTGAAAACAAGCCAGCACTTGGTATCATCAAAGGTGTCAGGCACTCGATGGCAGCAGGCCCCCGTGAAGTAGCACACTTCATAGATGGTGTCCCCAGCGGAAGAGTCCAGTGTTAATGTCAAACATTTTTTAAAACTTACAGCTGAAAGTGTTTTATTAACTTTTGTAACTCAGCGTGTTGTTTCACAGCAGCACTTTGATAGCCTTTTTTTTAAGAAGTGTATATTTGTAAAAGATATTCAGGCAACTTTTGAAAGCACTATAAATGTGTAATCAACTAGCCATAAAAATATTGATTTATAGTTAACCAGCATAAGGTACTGCATTTGTAAATATGGTGCTATGGTTATATTTATACTTTTCAAGCTGGTGAGCAACTCTCTAAACTGTGATTAAATGTGTATTAATAGTTCCTTAGGAAGTATATTTTAGTAAATGAGTCAAGTCCATAACAAACATCTAGATATTAATGCCAGACAGGTTCTACAGAGGACAGTACTGGGCAAAAGTTACTGTGGGACCTTCACAGTTCATTTTCTTTTAGTGAATTTATATTTATATTGAAGCTGAATCTGAGTTCTAGAATATCATTCTAGTAATACGAGCTTCTGGCCACCATGAAAATATCTTGAACAAAAGAAAAAAGTGCCACACAGCTCATACCATTGGTCTCTAACACAAATTTCCCATTTCCACCATGTAGAAGATCAGTATGGATTTGTTTCAAAAGAGTGATTTCTCTTTTCATGAACATACCTGTATTTCTAGATTAAAGAGATTGTGTGGCATTTTCCAAAAAGAAGGTTTAATTTTAGCTCAACTCTCAGTGAGGAAAGAGAAAAGTAAGACATTTCAGATTTTATGCTAAGGGAATATATGGTTGACCTCTAATTAGGTACCTCATCTGGTACCTTTACCAGGGATGTACTTGAGGTTAGGAAAGCTCTCTCTCCAGGGCTTAAGAGGAATGTTATTGCTACATTCCACGGCTGCTGGGCAGAGCAATAAGCCAACTCAGGCAAGACATGCCTAATTCTTGCATGGCCAGGCAAAGCATGAATCAGACGCTCGTATACCTTGTCTATTCACCCCATGTGCAAATGCATAGAATATGGCTGACAGTGTAAAAATGCACTGAATCAGTTGCCATCCCTTTGGCTTTTACATTAATCTTGTGTATGACAGAGAGGAACAGGCTGATCTAACATGTTGATCAGAATATGATGCACACATCAACAAGACAATCAGAAAAGTATTATTGTGCTACAAATTAATACAAATACTACTTTATTTAATTATCCTGAAGCGTATGGACTTAGCTTTAGATGGATTTTGTGGCAGCTTACTAGCAAGAAGCCAATAAATAGGGGAAATTTTCAAAATAATGGTCCTTAAAATGACCACCAACTCATTTTTGACTCACCTTCTTAAGATTATTGGAGTAAAAGTGTCACTTGGCTTCACCCCTTGGCAAGCAGCCCTCCTCATTCTTACTAGCCTTGAAGGATAATACAGGGAAGAGTGATCACTCTTCTTTCTAGATTTTTTCCTTAGTACTCAGTAATAAAAGGGCCAGAACAAAAATCTAGTAGAATAGTGACTTCTACCAGTGAACTTGTTATACACACAGGCGCCTGGGCCCACTGTGTTTCCAGATTGGCATTGTGTGGAATGTTACTTCTCTAGTTGATTCTGGCACACGTTAAAGTTGGAAAAATCACTTGAATAAAATATAAATCAACATGTGGGCAACTAGCTGCCTGTTTAACTGTTCTATGGGCTGATTCCCAGGTAGAAAAATGCTGTTTGTTACTCCTTTGTATAGTTGGAATGCCTAGATTTAAAATGAGCAATGTTTTGAGAAGAAACTTAGAAGCCATTTTCTTATAAAGCAATTAAACTGAGATCTGTGGAAAAAACTATGGTATTTCTCAACACTTGCTGCTGAGAGATTTGAAATACTGTATATTGACATTTTTCAAATATTATTTTTCAAGGCTGTACCATCAAAGTTGTTGGTAGCAAAACAAAAGCAATTTTGGACAAATACAGTACGGTAATTTAGAAAGTAAATCGAGGGGAAAAAACGTAAATAAAAGTTGTTCCTCAGTCGTGCGCCTGCATGACATGCAATGTTGGCAGAAACTGTGTCCCAACACAGAATGAGATAATATTTCATTGACATAATAACAAGGGCTGATTGTTTTCTCTTACCTATGTTTACAATAACACTGATGCCAAACTATGCTGTTTCTAAAAATGTGGTATCGAGTTGCTGTAAAGCGAGCATGCAGCAGATGGCGATGTTACTCCTCGTTCGGTTTTGCTTTGTCAGTTATCGTGTGCCATTCTTCCTCCTAGTGGACGATTTAGAACGCAACGAAGGTTCTGCTGCAAGGCCCTTTTTCGTGAGTTCATCTCTGATGCAGATCTTGTTGAACAAAGATTCATAAACTAAGAACAAGTGGAAGCGCAAATGGCATCTCACAGCGGTGTGTTACCTTTTCCTCCTCTGCTGTCTGTGCAGCGCTCGGCGTTTAGGGACACTGTACTTAAGACCTTGTTGGCTTGCATTTGCATGTTTTATACCAAAGCTTATACTGTAAAATGTGAAGCCATTGGAAGTTGCAATGGAATTGTTAATAACATGAAACATTTTTATACTAAGATCTTTCGTTTTGTAATTCATTTTTAAATATAGTGGCTTGGGTGTTTTGAACATGCTACTGAGTATGTTAATATTCTTTTAAATATTAAATTGAAAAAGGGTATGTTAACGTAAATCGAAAGCTCCTACTATATTTTTAAGATTATAGCTAACTGACTTCTGCAGGGAAAATTGGTAAAGTGAAGTAAACATTTTTAAAGCTTTGCCCACTCTTTCTTGACAGTAAACCAGTAAAAGCACCGCCCCACTCCAGTGCTTGCTGTCTTTTGGTCCGTATAGTGTTTCCTCTTAGACAGTTGGACTTGCCAGTCATCCAGCCTTGACTACTTCGTCCTCTGACAAAGTGCCTTACTGGCTGCTTACTATTACCCAGCTTTTGTGGGCAAGTTTATAAACATTATTGTAAAAAAAATTAAAACCTACAGTGTTTAGTGATTAAAACAAGTCTTGCATGTGTTTTCCTCTTGCTCACTGATTGGAAACCACTGGTCATTTCACCATCACTGTGTGGCATAAGGAAGTTTCCCTTGTGCCTAGTGGACATTCATGAATGTGTGCTACACCCAAGGAAAAAAAACACTTGAAAGAAAGGACACTTTTGGGTTTCTTTGTTTAGTTTTTATTAAAAGAGAAAATTTTAAATGTCTTTTCTGTGGTCAATCCTTAAAAATCACAATAGGTATAAAACTGTATCTCTCGGTGTTTTACACATAGTTGAAAAAGAAAGTTCTAGGAATTAGAAAGGGAAACTTTAGCTCACAGATGTTATGTGCTAAATGGCTCCATTATATATGATTGTTTCCATCAAAGGCCATTCTATATATGTCTCTCATTTTCTAACTTTTGATACACAACAGCTTGTTTACAACATGTTGATTTTTTATTGTACCAATATAAACAGGAATACTTTCTCATTTTAAATAACTTTGCTAGTACTACTAACTTTAAAGAAAATGAATTCAGTTTGTTCCTCAGTGGTACAGAGTCCATAAAAGCATTCATCCTAAGGATATGTCAACCACAGTGATAGTTGATGAAAGATTTGAGAATCAATCAACATTAAGTAACATTGGTTTATCTATCATCACATTTGTTTAAAAGTAACTTTACATACTCTTAGGCCAAAAATAAATTCACGAGGGCCTGACAGTATGAGCTCTATAATCAGTGTGCTTCTGCTATGCAGAAATATTAGGAACATATTGTCTAAATACCTTTGATAACTAAGATGTTTCATACTTAAAGAAATTTGTTACTCATTGTTTTAGATACATTTGTTTTTTCTTCTAATAAAGATTTAGATAAGAAATATCTGTCTGTCTTTTTATTTCTTTAAGCTAGAAAAAGAAAAAACTTGTTTTTAAAATTTACCATATTGTAACAGTATCTTCTTCATACTAAATATCTTGGGGTCTTTTGTTTTAACATCTAGATTGATTTATAATTTTTCCAATTTCTCTATGCATTACTATATCAAATAACAGAGACTGAAAATTTATACAAGTAAATAATCAAAGCTAAATGAGTTTTAATTTGACAAGGCTCATTCATTTCCTCACTTGGTTTTGCCAACATTCATAAGAATAAAATATCATTTAAAAAAAGAAATGAATGAACACTAATTAACAGTAGTTTGCTAAAACAAGATTGGATGTACTCATGACTGGTCTATCTTAAGGTAAAACAGCATCTTTTTTAGGTTGAATTATACATTAAACCTTCAAAATTAAATCTCCTTTAAAATTGAATGGATCTCTTTCAAAAATAAAATAATATTCTTGTCATTTTAAAGTATTGTTTAATGTTATAAATCTAATAAGATGTTTGTTATTAGAGGAAATGATTTTTCTTATTTGAAGTAAAAATAAAAGTTAGTTTCCGAAAGAAAATCAAATTCTTCTTTAAATCTTAATAACTCCCATTTTTAAATGATAAAGCAATTACAATGTCAATAAATTATATGAAATTAGTATATTATTGACTTAATTTTTCTATATGCTTATACTGCTTAAAAAGAGTTTTTGTATTCATACAGTAATAAAATCACACAATGAAAGTTTCTATGAGATCATCAGGGATATTGTATTATTTAACCTGACACTGGAAAGTGAGCTCTAGCCAACAATTCCTTATTTTTCTTTTAGCATCTAGCTGATCAGCACTCATTCCAATGTATGCTCTTTCACTTTTACAAGTGGTGGCTCAGGAAATTGCTCCTAAAATCTAACCAGGCATAGTAATTATCTCCAGTATTATCTGGTTCTGGATTGGAGAATATGCTTTATAAATCAGTCTTTCTTGGCACAAGCTATGGGGACAAGATTGAACTGAAATCATTATTGCAGACCATGGTGTATGAAATGATATCTTAATGTTTTTCCCATTTTCTTGCACATAAAATCTTTAGATATCTGCACATGATTATGTTTTAAAAATATACCTGTAGGATTACAAGGCTAAAATTTAATATACTGTATTGTTAATGAAAAATGTCAATATAGCAGATGCATGCTCCATTGAAATCAACAGCTTTCTATCTTACAATCTAATTCTCATTATCTAGGTCTAATAAAGGAGATTATATCTGAGATCTCAGGACCGAATTATGTCTTCAAAGTTATTTTCCATATACCATGATTTCAATGTTGGGGTTAAGTAGATATTGAAGACCTTTCTCTCAGAATCTAGTTACTTCTGGACTTAGTGAATCTATCATCTTTGAGAAATCAAAGCCAACCCCACAAAATCAAATATGAATTCTTTCATTTGTGAATATTGGGTACCTTCTTATCCAAGGCTTGGGCATCAGATTGATGTCATAATCGTGGTTCTGCTTACACTTCTCAGGCTGAAACTAAAGTATTCCTCCCCTATTTACAACTTAACCATTACTTGGAATGAAAGCTCATCAAAGCAGTACAGAATCTGGCACTATCTTCTGTCTCTGTGCTGGACTGAACAATGGGAACTGTTAAGTGGGATATTTAAAGGCAAGCAATTAGATTTTATTATTTGAAAGCAGTAGCTTTTTTCCTTTAAATTTAGCTGCTTGGCTTTTTTCCTGGTATATCTACTGGATGAATTGGAATAATTTAAGCAAGTGGGGAAATTGTGAATCCAGATAAAATGTCCATCTACCACTGGTTCAAAACACTTGGTACATTTTTCCTCTTCTGAAGCTTTACTGGTAAGGAGCTCGATGAGTTAACAGGGTGGGAAAAGCTTAGCAAGTGCAATGATGTTTGCATTCTACACAGAAGCTAATGTGGAACATGGACTTGATTCATTGCTAGAATAACCTTGGAATCTCCACCTCCTTCTACTGAGATCAATGTGCCCTGATGTGTAAGAATGCAGCGAAAAGACATCAAGAAAAGCTTTAGTGTCCGAGGAGAGAGCAGAAAATCCTAACAATGTATGAAGAAGTTTCTAGTGGGATCCAAAAAGGACAATGTCACAGGAAATGAGGAGCCTTCTCAATGTAATCCATGAATCTACTGAAAGAGAAACTCAGCAAATCAGAAGGCAATTATTAAACAAACAAAACTATTTTTCAGTTCTCTTGTAAACAGCATGAAGCGGACTGTCTTGTAATAAAACTAATCATACAAATATATTTAGCCCAAACAATGATGTCCCAATATGACTTATGATTAAGAAATTACAAAAACATTTGCCTCCTCTTTGCAGAGCTGTCCCATGTTAGCTCAAGCCTTGCTCTTGTGATGATCTGATACATTCTTCTTCCCCTCCACATGAAGATGGATTCTCCTTCACACTTTCTCACTTTCTTTGCTCCAGTCTAGGTTCTTCTTTGATCTCATTTTTCCTTACCTAAGCAAATTAAAGTACTTATAAGATTTTTAGAAGGAAATGGAGGTAAAAGAGGAGAAACAAGAGTGAAAAGGAAGTCTTTGACCAGCAGCTAGGTTTGCACTATGGAGTGGCAGGTCCTCAGTGTGAGCTCCGGAAAAGCAAATGGTAGAGCTCAGGCATGCAGCACGGTGGCTGTTAGCAGGAGTTTTAGAGCCAGAGTACAAGAGCTCAATTACAGTGTCATCCTGTACCGGAGAGCATGGGCCAGGTGTTTAATTATTCTGAGGCTTTCTTAGCTGAACATTGAAGCCCAGTTCCTCCTCCCAATGGTTTGGGGACAATGGCATGAGAGGCATGTGAATGATACCGGGAACTGAGGGCCTGCTCCATAGACACACACCATGCCTGTTAGCTGGTACTGGTGATAGTCTCTTGATTGAGGAGGATTTGACTTACTAGCCCCCTTCTTTCCCAGTGAGCAGCAGATCTGGGCCTCCCTGAGAAACTAGAAGAAGGCTTCACAGTATAGGTAGCCTGCTCCTGTCATTACTCCTATGTCCAAGCCAGAGTAAATAAAAAGTATGTGGGTGACTCGCCTTCCATCTCCACAACTTCCTTCCAAATCTCATGAGATTTAGACAGCTTGAATTCTTGGGTCACTAAGGACAGACTCTTTTTGAGTAGGCCATGGGAATTTTACTGAGATTTTAGCTTTCCTGACTTACTATTACCTTCCTTTTTAATTTTAAATCTGGCATTAAGTCAGTATTGTGAAGCTGGAGAACTGGATGGCATTTCTACAGATTCTTGACCTTTACTTGTTCTCTAAGCAATGGTGAAACCTGAATAACATTTAAATTTAATGTTGCATAACTGAGTGATTGTAGCCTTCAAAATTGAGGCCTTAGATATGCACTTACATGTCTGGGGGCAGGTTTTCTCTGCTGACCCTGCTCCACAAGTTTGTATAGGTCAGTGGAAAGATTTCCTTTATTCTGATTGCCCAAATAGGGTTGCTAGGCAGTCAGCTACTAATGAACTATTGAGTTCTATCTTTAGGATGACCACTTCGGGCCACATATGTGGTGCTGTTGTTTTCCTGAGGCAGAGCAAGATAGCCTTACCCATCTTAAAATCAGCAGAGAAGGAACCCGTATTAAAAGCAATGTTCTTCTTCTTTTGGTGAGTCCTCAATGAGATTTTGGTGGTCATAAAAAGAGAAAAAAGGAGTGGATAGATATCATTTTATGCTCTTCTGTTTAAATAACCATACTATTTATTTCAACTCACCATGTAAACTGGTGACAAATCCTTTGCCACCTATAATATGAAACTTGAACTACCACTGTGTTTTTGGCAGTTTTGGCGGAGGGGGGGTGGTGGAATTTTGAACTAATAAAATCAAGGGCAAAGTAAGAAATTTTTATCATTATACCATTATGTTCTTTTTCTTATTTTTGTCTGGAGCATCAGAGTATTTTTAGAATGGTAATTTAGCATTTTTGTGAGAGGAATAAAGAATATTTGTGTACAAAATGTTTCCCAGCTCACACAACATGTAGATGTTAAGATAAAGAAACAAAAATCTAACATGAAATATAGCAGATGTTAACAAATAATATTTGTTTTCCTAATTTTTTATTTTAAAATTAAATTACTTCATTAAATTTTTAATTTAACTTTTTTTTCTTTTTTCAGTACTGGGAATCAAACTCGGGATCCTGTGCTTGCCAGGCAGGCACAGTGCCACTGAGCTAAATCCCCAGCCCTTTATTTAATTTTTTTAAAAAAGCAAAATTATTTAAATTTTGTTCTTATTAGAAATTTCTTTTGAAAATAACTTTGATTTGTTTCTCACAGTGTTTCGGTCAGTACTGCTCTTGCATATCGTTATTCTTGGGTACGTAAATTGTTCTTGAACCGGTTTTACCAAGTGTGAGCCATTATGGAAGTCACTCATGGAGAGTCCTTAATGGATGTTAAAAGCAAAAAATAAACCACACATAGGATGCTTGAAAGGCTTTGATGGCTTCAGAGCACTATTCCTAGCATGTGTGTGCTTCACATGTACAACATGGACAGATGTGTGTGTCGAGACATGCAGGGTATATGTGACCAGCCCACAGCCAGGCACACAAGTAACTCATCTACTGCTATCTCAGAAACACTATCAACAATCGCTTTCCATCTCTCTGTATAAATCCTAGCCAAATACCAAAATTACCTTAATATTAATAACAGATGGGCTTGGGGTAGCTCAGTGGTAGTGTTTGACCACCATGTGTGAGGCTCTGAGTTCAATCCCCAGCACCACACACACTCATAGTGCCAGAAATTAGAGCTGATCCAAAATGTTTCCCTTTCTGCTCTGATATATTCCCTAAACCATGGAACATATTTACTAGTTTTACAGCATGGTAATATTGGAAGGAAGAACTCTACTGACACAATCTTCAAAGGGAAGATA